AATGCATACCCAAGTAGTGCTTGTATCGGGCATCACATACAATTTGCCATTCCAAATGTCATGACCTTGTCTTGTACTAATAAGTAATAATTACATTTTATAGTCTTATAGGTTTTGCAATAATTTACTTATGTTTTTGTATTTTAAATAACTAATTACTCTTTCTTAGGTATTTGGCATAAATATTGCTGCCTAAGTTGGAATTTACAAAATTTTCATGTAAAATAGTCAAATTAATTTAGGTTGCGTCCTGAAGCAACTTGATATTCTCTATCACTTCTGTAAATAGTATAACCGGGAACACTGAGTTCTTCTTAATGTTAAAAAAGTAATGTTTTGGATTGTGTTTAAAGGTGAATTAGCCATGGACAAGGCTAGTAAGTAGCTCATTAAGTAACTAAGTTTCAGTTGTGAAATTAGTGGGCATCAAATTTGTTGTAAATTAACTATTGTTATCATGAAGAAAAAGTAACTTCTTACTTTTTGATTTCGCGGGTGATTCAATCTAGATTGATCACTAAAATTTTGGGTACAAAGCTGGTTTTGAAGACGAAGATTGTTCTTTTAAAGTTCTATGTGGACATTTTAACTTCATTTCGGAGGATTCGCTTTTTTCTTCTTACATTGAGCATGAATATGGTTTTCGTCACATCTGACAAATTTGGGTGTTAATGAGCAATAATTCTTTGTATAGTTATTCTCTGGTAATTGAAATGTTAGAATGTTGTTCAACGTTAATGCAGCTTTGCAGATTTCCTTAAAGTTAATAATGTTCTTAGCTTGTTTATTCGGAATAAGCTCCACTCCACACAAAAATATTGAATATTTTTCCTTGTTAGAAAGTCTTGCCATCTTAGTCAACATTTTCTTCATCTATATTTACCAAATTTTGTTGTTCCGATTGCTTGTTTTTCTCTATATACAACGATTTACATGAAACAACACTTCATGACGATTAAGTATATCTAACACTAATCATCATCAGAATTCGCTAATCATTCGACTTCTAATTATATGCAACGAGTCATTAATCATGGGTATGCCTTTAACATTCCGTTACGATCATGTAGAGTTTATGCTGAGTAATTAATAGCTTCATTATCGTTGCTTCGATGGTATTTATGTTCTTATTTTCTTGTTATCCTACTTTAGTTTAATTTTTTTAGATAACTTTTTCCAATTATATTTTTCACGGGTAATAATTATTATAAATCTTTTTTTATAAAACATACTTTGCAGAGATGTTCTCCATCTTTTAAGACAATGTGTAACAAATCCATGAAGCATTTATTCAATTAATTAATTCATTACAGTTTTATGGCCTTACGTAGTCATCTCTCAAAAAAGTAACTTATTAAAAAATCTCGAAAAATTACAAAGTGGAACTAGACTTGGTGGTAAATTCGAAAACCAACTTTATGGTATTTTTTCTTTAATGATTTTTTTAATAATAATTATGTATAACGATTGTGATCATAATATATTTATTCAATGATTCTTAAAAATCAAATTTATCTTCTTACTTCCATCTAATATTTATTAGCAATATTAGGTTCTATACAACAGAGATTTTCTCTCGTTTCGCTTTACTCTATCTGGTTTAAACCGCCCATTCAAAGATGTCGCCTTGAAATCTTTTCTACAATACTCTCTAGAGTTTTTCCAAATAACTTATATTTTATCTATATTCCTTTCCTTCTGTCTTTACTATTTTCTCTTATTTGTTTAACATCATTTTTGTTAGTTACTTAACAATCGCCTTAAAGTTCCAACGCATAATTTTCTTGATATAACTGATATCTTAGTTTTTGTCTACCTATATCCTGCTGAATGAACACCTTCTACGTTTTGGATTATCGGTGATGGTTTGAGCGTTCGAAAACTTAACCAAATTTTTCATACTTTCTTTGACTTCTCTTTGTAATACATCATTACTTACCAAATGCAAAATTTTTCTGAAGACCTTCAACTGGTTGTCGTCCAACATAGAATATACAGTCACTAGCAAAACTCGATACCTATTCGCACATACGAAAAGAATTTTATTCCGTATCTAATGTTGCGCTATGTTATACTTTTCTGTGGACTACTACCATAAAATTCCTTCTGATATAAAATATTCAAAAGCATCTCGAGGGGGGCCAAAATATTTTAGATGTAGTAGGACCTGAACCACGTCTTATAATGTTATACAAACGAGTTTTAGATTGATGTGGCGGTTTTAATTTGCCACAGTATTCCTTTTAGAGAAACCAATTTCTTTTGTGGAATGTGTATCTTCAACATTCTTGTCACGATCACGTACAGCTTGCATGTTCAGACAAGAACGATCCTCTAGCAACAACCCCACTCACGTGTGGTTCGATTCGAACAAGATTATGCAGATTAAATCTGTAGTAGATTATTGCCAACAGATTCCTTGACTATCAATAAGAGCTTCAAGCAATCCTGTGTGCCTGATATCGGAAACGTTAATTGATTTACACAATTAACGATACAATTTTCGTACCAAGTTTTTGTTAGCGGTTGAATTTTGATATCGATTTTCGATTTCATTAGAAGTGGAACCATCTACAAAAAATAGAGTTACGTAACTTATATTGATAAATTAGTATGGCATATTTGGCATTTGATATCGCACTTATAGTTTTCTCGGTATTTCACCGCGATTACAACATTTAATAAAAATTATTTATTTCAATTCAACTTAAATGAAACGATTGAATTATTTGCCCAGCTGGGTGAGTGCCATTTCAAACAAAAATCCGGCTGAATTATTATCTTAAGCTTGTTAAGATAACAAATATTACATTTTATTCTAGGAAATAGTACCGCAACAAATTTTTTTAAATTTAATTTTTCCTATACAGAGTGTTTCAAACATCTAATTTAATTACATATATATTTTTTTTCTTTTTACTATGTTTTTTTTCTTTATATCTGCGATTCTACAAATTGTTCGGAAATCCGCATAACTTCTTTTCCAACTGTATCTTTTCCTGCTGCTTTCAAAATATAAATGTCATTTCGTCAGCTCATGTCGCAAATTATTGGGTATTTTTGAGGACTAAAAATAAGACTTTTAATACGCATATTTGGGCTAAGTTATATATTTAATTAAATATGTTCTTTAATATCAAATCTAAAATCAAACTTAAATATACTGTTGTGACGGTATTAATCGGTTTGGTTATCAAGTTAATAAATTCAAGACCATTAATGTTATCCCGACTTTTTGTAAAAGACCTTGATAAAACTTGTAAAGGAACATTTACAGTTTAAGTCAAAAAACACAACTTTCAAAAATCACAGGCCATAGTAATAACCTCATAGATTTATACTACCAGCACACGTTTACCTTCGAAAGAGGTAAATAAAAAGATGTGCTTTAAATATACACAGACCAATAAAGACATATTTTGGTAGGAACTCAAAGTATTAATTTTGCCAATGTAAATGTTGCTCTTTATTACTTTTATACTCAGCTTGGATCAATAATTTACAAGTTTTTGCCGCAAAATTATCATAAAACAAATCAATATCCTACTTGGTTCTCTGCATCAACAATTCGTACTATCCGAGAAAAGAACCGTATGCACAAGAAGTGGAAGCGTTATGGAAATCGGTTGGATTACTTAACATTTTGCAAATTATTTTGCGTCTGTTTTTACTCAACCCGCAGCCTATATCCCCGTCTTGATGAGGAGATTGGGGATATACTGTTGTCGTTGGAACTTTTAGTAGCGCTTCAAGTGTCGTCCAACAAGGGTCCTGGTTCTGATGGCATTCCATCAATTCTGATTATAAATTGTGCTGCTGCTCGTTCCATACCTCATCAAATAATTTTTGTCCATAAAGGCTGGAGTTTTTCCCGTGGCATGGAAGCGCGCCAATGTTGTACGAGTTCACAAATCTGGTGATCATAGTTTAGCCGCTAATTACCGCCCAATTTCCATCTTGCCGTTGTTTAGTAAAGTATTCGAAAAGCTGATATACTATAGAGTGTTTTTTCAGTTAAAAAATATTCTTCATGTAAACCAACATGGCTTCTTTCAGGGTCGGTCTATGGGAACGAACATGATTGAGTATACGGATCTCCTTTTGTCTTCCATGGATAATAATGTTCAGGTAGATGCAATATATACGGATTTTAGCAAGGCATTCGACAGAGTTGATCATAATTTGTTACGTGACAAATTAGTGCGTATTGGCGTTACGAGCTCTCTGTTAGACTGGTTTCCTTCCTATGTCTTGGGACGAACTTTCGTCGTTCGGATTGGCGAGTTCTTTTCACAGTCATTTTCAATTACATCTGGTGTACCTAAGGGCAGTCATCTTGGTCCACTTTGGTTCCTTATCTATATTAACGATATTTTTGCCTCTTTTCCCCATTGTCGCTGTCTCAGGTACGCCGATGATCTTAAAATATTCATGTCTATAAGTTGTCTAAACGACTGTGTCAAACTGCAGAGCGACCTTGACGATTTGTACAGGTATTGCTTTGATAACTACCTTACATTTAATTTCTCGCAATGCGCAATAATAACTTTTACAAAGAAACAGAATTACATTATATATAACTATTTGCTCGATTATGATGTCTTACACCGATCCTCGTCCGTCCGGGACCTTGATATCACACTTGATCAAAAGTTGACTTTTAATTTGCATTTTGACGGAGTGGTGAATAGTACAGAATGCTAGGATTTGTAATGCGATGTTGTGTCGATTTTATTATTATTGTTCATTATTTAGTTTACTTTTATTTTACTGTCTTTATAGGTATATATGTAAATATATCTCGACGTTGATTGCTGTTGAATGTAATTAATTTTGTAGAGCAACATTTTTGGGTATGATACATGAACTTGTACGAATAAATAAATAACCAAACAGTTGTAACCTTATAGTAAAGTCTTATCTAAAAATAATTGATTTTTATCAGTTCATACTTGATTTTTTTATCAATACCTATTTAATGGCTGTTGGATATGTTTGGTTTTACACCAATATCTAGATTACCACCTTCATTCGCGATATACTGCATCAAAAATGTCAGGTTTAAACAAAAGACAGTGAGTACCCCAATTTCAAAATTTTATTTTATACATATTTTTAATTTTTATAGACGTACTCAACAATCGGCATCATCTGAAATTGAAAATCAGAAAGATTGGGATGATTATTTTATGGGAATTGCTTCTCTTGTTGCCAAAAAAAGTAAAGATCCTTCAACTCAAGTTGGTGCTTGCATAGTAAATCGTGACAATAAGATAGTTGGAACTGGATTTAATGGAATGCCGCGCGGTCGTGATGAGGACTTTACTTGGGCAAGAAAATCTGAAAATCCAGACAATAAACACTTATATGGTATTGACAATATACATATACTTATTCTACTTAATTTTTAGTTTTTTATTTTCAGTTTGTCATGCAGAATTAAACGCTATTGTCAATAAAAATCAATCCGACCTGAAAGGTTGCAGAATTTACGTAACTCTATTTCCCTGTAACGAATGTGCTAAACTGATAATTCAATCAGGAATAGAAGACGTTATCTATAAGTCCGATATATACGCCGATCAGATAGCATTTCAAGCATCCAGGAAAATTTTTGAAACTCTAGGAATCACACCTAGGTAACTTATAATGTTTTTATTATAAAAATAGCTCATTAAATAATTCATTTATTTTAGAGAATGCGTTCCAAAGAAGTTTCAATAAAACGAAGATAAAACATAAGAAAAATGAAGTTATTATTGTTTTTTATTAACTTCAACATTAAAATATTTCTTGGGAAATTAAATCATTATTTATTTTTAATCCCTATAAATCAATATCTCTCAAAATAATTATTATACAGTATTAGAAATTACATTACACGTTACTCATTAGCTTGTCTCGTCGAAACGCGCATTTTTGATTGATGACCAACATAAAACATTTATGGCTAATTGAAAACGACTTTAAAAAAATATATAAAAGAATTTATATTAGGACCGACAGAATTATTTCTGATTGAAATTAACTCGTGTGACATAAGCTGCAACGTAATTGTCGATTCTTATTTATTTTATTACCGCTTCATTCCCGTAGAGTAACAGATTTATTACATGTTGGAATTTAAAATTGATAGTTTTATTAACTACTCTCATTCATTATTTTTCTTTTGCTTGCAATACACTATTAATCTAGTAGTAGTCAGATATCGAAGTTATTAAGGTCCAACCTGATGTCAGGGGTTTAAAAAATAAACACTTTTGGTATAAATCAGTAAACTGCACATATAATTTTAATTAAAATAAAAGTTTTTAAGGTTTAATTTTCGGAATTTTGGGTATCAATCGGGATAGAGGTACAAAACCGATTGAAGCGAAAGCAAAAAATCCAGATAATTGTTAAAACATAAATAAGTTTTTATTGAAATACAAATTCTATAAGTTTTTCTACAACCACTATTACTTCAACACAAGAAATAAATGCTAACGCCTACCAATCTGAACAAGTCGGTCTAATCCTAAACAATGATGAATATTGTACATAGTATAACACAGCCTCGGAAAATTTTGAAAATAACATGTCTATTAGTATGTAACAGAGACAGCAAAGTTAAATGAACAAACGGACTACCAAAACAGGACAGATATGAAATAAAAGGAATTTCTAAATATGACGAGTATGTTAAGATAAAGACGAGATAAGCAGAGATAGGATAAGGAGAGATAAGACTAAGTAGTAGATACCTTACAAAATATCTTTTATATGGCCCGAGAGCCTCTTCAAATGAACTTTTACTTAATGGCCCAGTATCTGTTAAGCCATTATTGTTGTTAATACATATTATGTCATCTTCAGAGTTACCAGAATCTTACTCACAAGCTATCTAAACATAAAATTTAATCAGAAAGCCGCCTAGTAACACCACATTCTGATAGTTCTTCGCACTCCAACTTACAGGATCTATATGATTTAATGAAGTTTTCATACGATTTGAGACTTCGAAAGCAATATTTTAAGCAAGCAGAATGTGGATGAAACAAACTTGTTCTAACTGAGCATGAGCAAAGCAGTTAAACATCCAAAACTTTACCAGACTAAAATAAAATTATATATGAACACTGCGGTATCAGATGGCAAAATAAGTGAACTCCAACATTGCACCATCCACAACCATGCCGGTATGGACCTAGCTATATCAACTCTCCCCCTGTTAAACCTACATCACCAACATTTGAAGTAGATAACATCTCATCATATTACAGCAATTATACCAATGCAACGTTTTTGATGATAATTAATTACCTATCTTTACTAATAATGTAGTAATAAAACAAATAAATGCGTACCTTAAACACACTGCAAGTATTTCTTTTGTCCCTATAGGCTTACCAAGCTTCGAATGTATTTTTTTATGTCCCTTTCAATCAATTAATGAACTTTCTCGAACTGTGTTTAGACAAACTATAATATTGATGATTCAAAATATCGTTAGAATACATCAGAACACGACATGCGGATGTGAAAGCTAGCAAAACTTGGCTTTCCAGTTTAATATTTTGAATTGACTCCTCACCGGAATTTCTGCGTAACTAAATGTATATTTCTGAGGTTGACCACATTGATACCAAGTATACCCATTTTATATATTTCTATCTCCTCAACTATTTTCTCATCTTTACCAATTAATGGTTTAATGTTTCACGTTCCAATTCTTAAGTAAAAACTCTGAATAGCTGGTAATCTGTATGAGTGATTGGCCAAGCGACGCATGTCTTTGGTCCACGGTTGTTTATTGTTAACACTCATAGCAATCCTGTTTCTAGGACTTCTCCCAACCACCACTCGGGGGGACACCCTCTAAATAACCCTTAAATAAGTAAATTAAATTGGAGTTCCCACATCGCCAAGGTGAGGAAAAAGGTTATTATGGCTAATCAGATCTGGCGGAGGCTCTTTGAAAGGAATTGGGGTTTTAAACCATGAATGACTTACTGGGACTATGTGCCAATAATCAGACTCATGCTCGCCTATGTTTCGTTGGTGTGGTGGTTAAAAACAAATCACAAGACAATAACTGACACAAATCCAGTGGCTTGCTTGTCATAACATAACGGGTGTAATGAAATCTTGTCCGACGGTTGCTTTTGAAACTCTACTCGGTGTCACACCACTTCACTTGTATATATAAAAGGAGGCAGGTTTGAGTGCTTTGTCACTGAAGACATTCAAGCTCATGCAGGGTAACCTCAGAGAGCACTCGGAATCTGATACATCGATGCTTCAAAGATAGTTGGATTCGGAGTTGCTATGGGCTTCAACGGACCAAAATGAGGCATTAAGATGCCCTTAAACTCGGATACAACCATTTTTCAGGCAGAAATTCTTGCCATAAACCGGTTTGAACCTTGAAAGAGGCTTTGATAAATATCTTTATGGACAGTCGGGCCACCCTAAAAGCGTTTCAGGCCCACAGGTGTTAATTCGTACTGGTCAAAGAATCTACCGATAACCTGAGCAAAGTCACCAGAGGTAATGAAATTAAACAATTTCAGAAAAAAGTTTATAGTGAATTTAAATATTTCATTAAAATGAAAAGATCCACAATCCCAGTATTTGTACATACACTTACAGAATTCAGCTCTAATTGAATTGACATCGAACATGGAGCTGATTTTGATACAACTGATGAGATATAAGATCTATAAGATCTATTGTAACTTACGTGCTCGAAAGGTTTAGCGCAAAAGTAGGTCCTTGATGAACCGTAGTATTGCTCTAAAGTCTTGTTTCTTTATGTCACTACTATCGGTGCAAAAAGTCAAGGCTCCTCACTTGAGAGATCGATATATGTTAATTTGAAAATTTTCGGATCCGCGGTTTTCTTTTTATCGCGAGTTAAACGAAAAAAGTACCCGGATTTTTACGGTCCCAGCAAGTTTATCCACTTTGCGATTTTTTTTCTCAAAAACTATCTGACAAATAATTGCGTTTGTCAGATACCGTTATCAGTTTTTAAAAGTTATGTCTCTCTAATTTTTTTAGAGCGATTTATAAATTAAAAAGGAACGGAAATAAGCTATGCGGGGAGAGGAGGGTTTCGTCCAATCGGAAAAGGTGCTGCGTTCCAGACAGTACGTCGCGCCTTTATCTTTCTACATAAAGCAATAAAGGCGCGACGTTCTGTCTCTGGAAGACACACCAGGACCATCTTTAGAGACATAACTTTAAAAAACTGATAACGGTATCCGATAAACGCAATTATTTGACGTATTTTGGTCAAATCCGCGATGAAATCCACCCAGCCGTTTTCGACGTAACGGCGTCTTACTAAACCGCGATTTTCCGCGAAACTGTATGGAATATCGAAAAAATAAAATATGCCCCTCATTAAGAACACATCAGGCTACCACCTGTTCAAAATTGAAATTTTTTCGTCATATAGTTTTTGAGAAAAAAATCGCAAAGTGGACAAAGTTGCCTGCACCGTAAAAAATCGGCACCTTTTTTCATTTAACTCGCAATAAAAAGAAAACCGCGGATCCGAAAATATTGAAATTAACATATGTTACGTAGAATTGTTCAGTGACTACAACAAACTTTGTTGTAATTTTTTTTATCTAGCGGTTGCAAAGATATCGATCTCTAAAGTGAAGGGCCTTAACTTTTTGCACCTGACACCTTGCACCAGAAAGGATTGCCTGACACCATAGTAGGTGTCAGGCAATCCTTTCCCAAAATTTTATCACTTAGGTGATCTCTGGCCACGCAGTCACACAGAATATGTTTAGCAGTTTCTGACTTGTCATTGCAAAGTCGACAAGTTTGATCCTTAGCTTGTCCAATGTTGAAGAGATGGTATTTTATGGAGGTGTGGCCTCTCAGGAATCCTAAGAGCGACTTTAGGTTCCCTTTACTAAGCCATAAAACCAGTTCTTTTGGTTTTCTTGGTTTTCTTCGTGCTAGTAGTTTTGTTTTGTGTCGCAGTACTCTTCACCAGCCTGTGTCTTTGAAGTTCTTTCCACCGCAAAGTTACCTTTGAGGTTCCCTTGTACTAATCATCTGTTTTAGGCAGCTTTTTGTAGTCCACAGCTGGATTGAGCTCCTCGCTGCCTCTTTGGCCAACGTGTCCGTTTTTTCATTATCCACAATGTTTTTGTGACCTGAAACCCACCATAAGGTAGTTTTTGAGAAAAAAATCGCAAAGTGGACAAAGTTGCTTGCACCGTAAAAATTCGGGTACATTTTTCATTTAACTCGCGATAAAAAGAAAACCGCGGATCCGAAAATTTTGAAATTAACTTAGTTACGTAGAAATGTTTAGTGATTACAACAAACTTTGTCGCAATTTTTTTTATCTAGCGTTTGCGAAGATATCGATCTCTAAAGTGAGGGGCGTTGACTTTTTGTACCGATAGTAGTGACATAAAGAAACAAGACCTTAGAGCAATACTAAGGTTCATCATTCATCAAGGACCTACTTTTGCGTTAAATCTTTCGAGGGCGTAAGTTACAATAGATCTTATATCTCATCAGTTGTATCAAAATCAGCTCCATGTTCGATGCCAATTCAATTAGAGCTGAATTCTGTAAGTGTATGTACAAATGCTGGGATTGTGGCTCTTTTAATTTTAATGAAATATTTAAATTCACCATAAACTTTTTATCCCAAGTTATGTTTATCAGTGTAGTGTGCCATGCACCACACAAAGTGTGCCATGAAAAGTTGTTTTTAAATAAAATGATTTGTGTGTGACATTAGCGTTCTTTTCCAAAAAATTTATTTATTAATTCATGCCAAACCAAATATTCCACTTTTGATAGAGAACTTTTAGCGATCTACTCTGCTATCAAATTTTTCAAACATTCGTTACATGGAAATAAATTTACAGTATATACAGATCACAAACCCATTGTCGCATCAATTTTTTCGTCCACAGACAAAATTCCTCGACAAACCCGATATCTAAGTTATATTGCACAATTTACTTCAGATATCAAATACATNTTTTCAAAATTAAAATCAGTGAATACGTCTTTTCACTCTATTCAAAAACCTTTTATTCATAAAGACTTGCACAAATCAAATTTCGTTTTCATTAAAATTGAAGGTTTGAAACCGTCGTTATCTCCGCGATACGAAGGACCTTTCAAAGTTCTGACAAAAGCAACCAAATATTTCGTAATTCAGAAAGGCAATGATAAAATTATTGTTAATATCGTCGATCGCCTTAAGCCCGCGTTTATCTTTAATGAAAGTATTAAATGTAATAATTCGGAAATAGATAAACATGTGTCAACCCCGAATAGAAAAGTACATTTTAACATATAATCGTTATTTTTTATCATTACAACATATTACTTTCTTAAGTTGTACCATTGTTTTACCTTCCTCTTCATATTAATTTCTTTTTCACGGAAGGGGGAGTATTGTAGTGTGCAGTGTTGTTAAATACCCGGGTATTTATTTTCAAGGGTAAATTTCCTGGATATATACCCGGGGGTATTTACCCAAGATGGGTATTTAGAGGTATTTATAAAATTTAATTTAAATTGAGTTGATGGCAGTTTTCCAAGCACTTCAAGAATGCAGAGTCGATTATCGATATACCAAACTTATTTATAACATCTACAAGAATGCTACAATGACGGTAAATTGCATGAAAGTACTAAAGAGGGTAAAAATAATAAAGTACTGATTGTGTACAAATCGTTCATCACAATCTTCAGAGTGCATTTAGACAACTAGATTGGACCCAAAAAGGCATAAACATTGATTGCAAATGCTTAAGTAATTTGCGCTATGTGGACGATATAATTCTTATATCGGATAGCCTTGGAGAGATTAAACTAATGCTGAACGACTTAAAGGACTTATGTGCAAGAGTCGGTCTAAATATCAACGAGGAGAAATCAAAATTTATGATAAATCTTGTTCCCAGCTATAACATCGACATTGGGGATAATGAGATTGAGAGGGTTGACAGCTATGTATATCTTGGCTATGAGGTTCGTGTATCGAGAGGTAATAAAACAAGCGAACTAAACAGAAGGATCACACTCGTGAAGCCAACCCAAAAGGCCAAGAAAGGCTTTCAATCAATGCGTGTTTCCGGTTATGATATAAGACTCCGAAACTTTAACATTAATTGTAGCCACTGCCAAGAGGGTCTAAGTAATGCAAATAGAGATGGAGAAGTCGATCCTGGGTCTAACTCTGAGGTACTACATACGAAATGAAGACCTATGAAGAAGAATAGGCGTAAATGAACTGGTGGTCAACATTGTGGCAAAGCTTAAGTGGAACTTCTCGGGTCATGTTGTGCGAATGAAGAATGAGCAGTGAACAAAACGGTTACTTGAGTGGACACCGCGAGCGAAGAGACGAAGTAGACGTGAAAAGTATGACCAACAATTGGATTCAGACAACACAGAATAGAATCGAATGGGACAGAATAGGGGAGGTCTATGTCCAACAATGGACGCAGAGGACTGCTTGATGATAATAATCATAATAACTTGATCTAATCTAAATTACAACAGATTCGTTTAATGATAATACGTCTTTGATTATTGACAATTCCTCGTTTTCAACGTTCTTATCATCTTCCTCTTCATTTTTTTTGGAATCTGATATACTTTGACTGGTATAACTGTTGTACCCACTGTTGCACCACACAAAGTGTGCCATGAAAAGTTGTTTTTAAATAAAATAAAATTTGTTATATAATTTACAAAAAACAAAAAAAACAGATTAAAAAAAATAAATTATCTATTAACAACCTAAAACGTGGTAGAATAAAAATAATTTTTAAAATTCAATAAAAATATTGTACATGATATTGAACCTCATCGTACAATCAGGTTATATTGTTTAATAAAAAAGTGTATAATCAAATAATATATAACTGAATACACGAACGCCACTACTTATCAAAATTATGTAAAAATTGAAGTTACATAGAACTTACATTCGAATTATTCCGGGAATAAATGTGTTTATAATACTAACAGTTTTGTTTACTTATACGAGCAACATCAGTTAATTGGAGTATATTAAAAAATCTCCATGTTTTATACTAAATATTAAATAATTTAATTATTCCACGTACAGTTTTTTATTTAGTAATTTAGTAATATAGTTTAAATTCAATATGGTTTATTTGCTTACATTCCTTGTACTGTCAACTGCTACTAACCATACCATAATTAAAAAAATTAAACTAAACCAAATAACATACAGGAAGGAAGTAAATTTAAATACAGAAAAGTATGCGCATCCGTTCTATTTTATTCTTTTTTGAGTCACAATAAGGACAACAATATGGAACGAACGGTTTTGAAGAAGAAAAAGCGAAAAAAATAAGGTATCTCTCGAAAAAGAAGTCCGTTCAATTGCGATGGAATTCGAGATCCAAGATTAGTCTTCTTCGTATTACGTGTGTGCTTCATATGCGGTACACACGTTCTGCGTTTCGTGCTTGAACGAGGAGAAGAAGAAGCTTACCGGGAGTCGGTCAGCAAAAGGTGTATTATAGTAGTGAGGAGGAGCAGCAGGCAAAAGAGGAACGTTTTGGGGCCCGTTGGAGGTACAGAGAGAAGTTGAGGTTGTGTGCTGGCTCGAGAGCCGACCTCACCGGCAACTGGAACACCTGCTGCTTTGCCGACTTTCCACTCCAGTATTCGACCTACCATCGTAGTATCGACACCTGTTCGTTCGTTCGTTCGTTGGCTCATCGAGTTCATTCATTCTGGAACGCCGCGACATTCCTTTACCAATTTTTTGTGTTTATCGTAAACTAATCGAAACACTAAATAGAAATCATTCACTTTTTTTACTTATTTATGTTAAAAAATTAAATTAATTAAGTTGAATTATTATTAAAGTTTTATAAATCCGCGTGGACTTTTTTTTTAATTTTACGTGTGGTTTTGACTGTTAGTTGTTGATCCCGAGGATATCTTCCTATTCGCTCGAAGGACTAAACGCACCCAGGTATGTGTGTTAACCAACATTTTTCATTTTTATTCTGTGTGGTTGGGTTGTGTTGAGTCGGTTCAGTGAACACGGTAGTAAACAAACAACATTTTTTACTTAAAAGTAGACTGGAAATGAATTGTAAATTGTAAAAAAATAAAGCAATTTTATTATATTAATAAGATAAAATAATATTAAAATTAATCTAAAAAAATGTCTAAAAATAATTTATTTTAAATTGATTAAAATCAATAACAACCATCTAAATTTGTATAAGCTGTATTTAATTGTCTTAAATGGGTTAACACGTCTAAAACTCGTGTAATAAATCAAAATCTGATGAAACAACTTGTTTATCTATTCCTACTTGTTCTTAAATTGTGCCTCTCATGCAAACTCACACAACACGATTGAAACTTTGAAATCGTGATTACCACAATGTTAAACTCAAGGACTATTGCGGTGGCTATTCTGGATACAAAGGTAATTTATCAGAATGCGTATGGCGTATTATTTTGGTTAAAAATAGTACATAACACAAAACACAAATAGAAAAAAAAAAAACAGACAAATTATGTAAAAATTAAAATCGTTTAAAGGTAAAAAGCGTGGAAATATTTTGAAGTGATTCACTCAAGGAATTGCATACTTGGAATGTTAATTAAAAATACACCTTGTGTAGTTTCATTAATTATTCTGGAAAAACCTAGAACGAAACAAACAATGATTTAAATCAACAAGTTGGTTTAATTTAATTAACAACCGAATGATGTTAATAGCGACTTATTTTTTTTTGCGTAAAAAGTAAAGCTCTAGTTTATAAAGAGGAAAAGAGATTTTGTTTTAAAGGAAGTTGTTGAATAAATTATCTTTCAAGACACTCCTTAAAAAAGAAAGGATCGGTCCCCTTTTATCATCAATCGTGCGGCATATGTTGACCGAAAATCACTGGTGAAAGTTTAGTTTTTTCGTTTATTTTCTGCGCATTCAATAGAAGAGGATATAATTAAAAAAATCCAGATTGATTCGTTACAGTACAGATACTTTTTTATCTACAGTTTTAGCTACGTTGTAGGTAGCGTTTAAATGTGGATGTAGAGAGATACAATAAAAACGATTGATAAGAATATAATACAAATGCCTACTATTTTTAGCAGATGGTAGTGTAAATATTTATGTAATACTTATGTTTGTGACACTCCTAAAGAATGTCGCGTCGATGTCCCACCTAAATATGTGCATATATTATGAAAATTATCATAGAAATATACTTACGTAGTTCCTACTTAATATTTTTATTTGCTTTAAAAGTTTTGTGTGTAAAAATTATATTTTATGTTTTCTTAATTTTTTTAAATAATATTTAACGAGACTCAAGTCCAAAACGATTTGGCCATATATTAAGAAATATCAGAAATGGATATGGACCAAATAGATAATTTATAATACAATTTCTCTTTGCTCTCTGTGTGATCGAAATTGTTCTGTTCTTCCATGATTTACTGAATTTCGATCATACGAATCGATTAAATTCTGACAGTACTCCTTTTACCTTCAAAGAGTTCTCAGTGGATTCTATTTAGTAGTTCCTGCTCTTGTTTAAGTCTACTAATGTTGGTTCGGATAATATTTCTCTAGATATAGTTGGATTGTCGTCGTATTTTGAATGTTCTTTGTCATATTTCTAACTTTTGTTTGAGAATGTCAATTTATCCTAAGGTATGGAACTCTGGTCTGGTGACTCCTGTTCCTAAAACTAAACTAGTTAAAGAGCTTAAAGACTTGAGGCTTATTATCATCCTTCCGGTTTTGTCTAAAGTGTTAGAAAAGATTATGGCGGAGCAATTAAGACCATTTTTAGATACTTATAACATACTACCTGACAAACAACTTGGTTTCAGGAGTCAGTGTACCTGTGCCACAGCGCTTCTTCACTTAACTGATAATATATATATGTAGAGCTCTTGATGCTGATAGATCATTGATTGTGTTACTTGAAATCATGAATTTTATTTTCTATTCTTAAGTTTGTTGGTGTGTCTGAGTATGCTGTTTCTTTGTTTAAAAGTTATCTGTTTGATAGAACGCAGGAGGTTAAAGTGAAGTCATTGTATTCTGATTCTACTAAATTTGTTGCTGGTGTTCTGCAGGGATCTATCCTTGCTCATACCTAATTTTCAATCTATACCAGCAATTTATTCCTAAGTTAAGGTATTGTTCTTATCATATTTATGCTGATGATTCCCAACTTTATCTCGATTTCCTGCATGGTGATCGATCGGAAGCTTGTGATAAAATAACGAAGGATTTAAGTCACTTATGTGTGGAGAGACATGCTCGTTTGGTCAACCCTTACAAGACTCAATGTATTTTATTTACTAAAAAAGATCATTTATTTGTTAATAATGATGATATTGATATTAAGATGGTTGCAGTACAGTTAAAACTAGCGAATTTGGTCAAGAGTTTGGATCTTACCATTGATGATCAGATTGCGTACTTATAGTTCCCTAAGAAATCTCTACTGCAGTAATATGTTTTTATCGCAGTATCTGAAACGACTCTTTTGTGATTCTCTTGTGTTGTGTCACTTTAATTATTGTGATGTGTGTATTTTATGTATATCCCCTGAGAATTTATGAAGGGCTTAGATTTAGCACAATTCATATCTTCGTTTTATGTATAATTTTCGAAGATGTGATCGTGTATTGCAAGTTTTGTCCTTCTCATCGGTCTTCACAATTCCAGTGTTCATTTTCGTACCAGGTTGTTCGTTTTTGGAAAAAGTTTTGTGCAAGTAAAATTAGTGGCACTTTTACCTTTTCTGCTTTTGCAACCATTGAGCTTTAATTATATATTTGTTAACTGTATGATATTTCGTTGTTTTTCTGTATTTACATCTTGGTTCAATAAAGTATTATTATTTTTATATTTCTGTGCACTGCCCCGTTCTAACTACTTAGTACAGAGGTAAAAGGTTTTATTTCAGTACCCTTTTGTATTCGTGAAGTATCCAGAAAATAGATTTTTCTTACATAAAGTGACAGAATTGACAAGTGGTGGGGTAGCAATATCGCAAATTCGATGAACAGTGTAATGAGACCGCTGTTTATTCTTAAGTAAGATGAAGAGATGTTGAAAGTAAACATCCTAATTTGGTTAAAATATCTCGTTAATTCTTTAACAAGATATTGCAAGCTGTACATTAGCAAAAAAGTGTGATTTCCAAACAAACCATAGTGGTAAACAACGCACTGCTAGCATCTTGTAACGTTCTGTACAGAGTGACGAAATTTTTACACCACATTTACACCTCACATCATCGCAGAATACCCTATTCAACTGGTTTCTCTTGATGAGATTTATATTATACTCGGAGAATCGACACAAAAATTAATTAGAGAATCCATAACAGAGTGCAGGATCTCAACGGTAATATACAAAATACAAGATTTGCGAATTTAGATGTGATTTGGGTAAAAATTTTTCTTTTCCTTGTGGCTTTAAAAAAAACATTATCGTAATTAGCAATAATTAGAAACTCTCGAACTAAAACTAGAACTTCGTCTTTTGATAAAAAAGTGTTTGACGTTTAAGCGTTCCGTATTTTGCTGACTGTACTGTATCGTACCACGATATCGTTCTTCTTCAGATACTTTGCAATCTATTTCGTCACACTTGAAACATAAGGAAGGCAGATAAAACCGGCTATAAAATATCCCTCAGAGTGTAACCATTCTTCTTCCAGAAATTCTTCTTCTTTCTCTAAATTTTTTTCCTCGCACATCCTTTCTGCTCACTGGAACAGGACTTGGATCACTGTCCCCTTCTATTGTGGATAGTTATGGGACGAAGCCTGTAGATACCTGTCCGTGTGTGTCTTCTTCTGACACGCTCCAGTTCCATGACTCCATCTGTCTTCCTAGTGACCAAAACATCTAGGACAGGTAACTGTTTTGGGGCTGCTTCCGTTTCCATGGTAAATTATCATCCAGATAACATTTCAATGTAGAAATTAGCATTTATTACCGATGATAAAGGAATTCTTCCTTCCAGTTAAAATACGTAGATGTTAAATAGTATTCCGTTAGCCCTGGATCATACTTCGGTAAGCCCTCTGAAATGAGTTTCTAGCATCTTTGACTGGTACTCTAGTAAATAGAGATTCCAAATCGAAACTTACAAAATGCGTAGAATCTCTTATATATGATTCTGTTTTCCTGTAAAAGGAGACAGAGTCAGAAACTCTTGAGGAAAGTCGAAAATGCGTCAAGTTCAGGGGAACAAGAGATTAGTGACAATCAAACTTAATAATGCATCACGTTGAGATCCTTGACCTATACAAACCACTAAACCCATAAAAACATTCCATCAAACCATAAATAACAATGCTTTTACGTTTATCCATTTCAGAAATTTCCTGAACAATTCTCTCCATATCCAACAACAAAAACCTATATTCTCGCTTTGGAGCAGCAACCTTCACTTTATAGTGAGCTACTTTATTTTTAATTGCCAATATAATCTTCTTAAAAATAGGTATCAGAAATAACGATTAAAGAGACCTCGCACGTTCGAAAAAAAAAATCAAATTCTTCTCGCGATACTTTTGTGATCTTTGGAGACTCACAATGATCGATATTTTAATTTATCTTACATATGTATCTCTCAAAAATGTTGTTTTGGATTGATATTTTTAGAGATACAGCAGACAGAAAGAACTATACAGACGGAATTTCCTCTCGAAGATTTATTGGGATTACCAAAAATAATTGAGGATATCATATAATTTTGATTAACTTCTTATGGACATAAAATTAGATAATTGTATGATTTTCCACAACCTTTAAATTTAATTTTTAGTCATTGCACTATTATTACTAGTCATTTCGTTGTAACGTCTGTAAGTATCGCCCACTTCTTCTGAATCATCCTGTAGATAATATGACATTTCGACCAGATTATTTTTAGAGAGAAAAAGATACAAAACCGTAGGCGGATATGCAAATGAATGTTTT